CGACCGGTGGGGAGGACGGGCGCCACGCTGCGTTGGCACTGCCAAGGCCGTGGCCTTGCGCTCGAAGGTGCGCGCCAAGTACATGGCCGTCTGGAGGTCGCCGGGATCGTGCATCTCCACGTCCACGCGGATGTGATCCGACAGGCCGCCCAAGAAGAGCTCCGCCTTTTGGCGGGTAGAGATGTCCCGGGCGTGAGCCAGGACCGCCTGAAAGCGTCCTGCAAACTCCTCCACCGTGGAGTGGAAGGGCAGCCGGCCCAGTTCCGCCAGGCGGGTGCCGCGGATGGGCGGGCCAAAGCGAAGGCGACACAGGTCCTTGAACCTATCCCACGGCGGCATACCCTCGTCCTGCTCGAGGGCATAGTACCACGTCTGGGCCGCTCCAGTGAGGTGGTAAGATGCCATCCAGGTGCGCTGCGACGCCGGAGTGAACTGGCCCTGGAAGAATTGCTCACAATGCGTGAGCCAGTTTAGCGGATCGATGGAGCCGTCGTATGTCGTGAACTCGATCTTGTGGAACTTCGGTGGCCCGTGGCCCTGCGCAGATGCAGGAGCACCACCCTCGCGGGCGCCCTCGTTGGAGCCTGGGGCGCTGGTGGCCGTGGCATGACGCTGCTGCCGTGGAAGAGGGTGCCATCCATCCCGCCGTAGAGGGTGCCCGACACCAGCGGAGCCCCATGATCGGGAACATGCGTCCGGGGCGGAGTCGTCGTGTAGGCGGGGCTGGAGTGGCCCAGCGCCCATGCTGGAATCTGGGACGGCGAAGCCGGAAAGCGGATCATGTGGATTGGGACGCCGGTTGATGGCAGCGGTGGTGAGGTCGAGGGCCCAGCGTCGGTGGGCATCCCGTAGAGGTACGAGGTCGGAGCCGTGTGCAGGGGCGCCGTGTACAGGGGCGGCGGCAGGGCCGGCTGATGCGGCGGCACGGCGTACTGCTACGGCATCGGGTTGAGGAGGTTGAGGACAGACTGCGTCGTCAGTTGCATGTCGGCCATGCCATGGCTAAGGTCGACAATGGCCCCCGTCATCTGCTCCGGTGTGAAGACGGCGCGCGGTGCTGCTGGGGCGCCCAGCGGCAGGGATGGGTTCGGCACCTGTGCCGATGTGAACGCAGCCGTCTGGAGCGGCGCGGTGGTGCCGGGCGGTTCAGTCGCGGCGAGTGGTGGCACAGTGGAGGTGGGCAGAGGAATCGACATGGCCAAGTCTGATACCAGGTTGATACGTACGTGAGCCTTGCCTCTGGTGGATCGAAGGTTGTATGAGTGTGCGATGGCTGGGCGAAGCTGGGAGGCTGCGGCACGGCGGCGGGTCACCGTGGTCGCGTGTGAGCTGAAGAGAAACTGGGGCGGCAGCTAGGGCAATTCCCGGCTCCCAAGGGAAGCCAAGTAAATTGATTACTCTTGCTTAATCATAATTGTGCCTGATTACAAATATTTATACTCTAGTGAAATATTGAGGGAATAATAAAAATATGCTAATGGGCTACTTTAGGCACTAATGAGCCTGCGCCTGGTATATTGCAAACCGGTCATAACACAAGGTAACAGCTTTTATTTTGCCATCAGCACAATGTACGTCCACTAACAGCCCTCAAGTTGTGTGCATTAGAAGACATCCGAAACGACAGATGCAGTTTAGAAACTCGTAGGTCAACACTAGAATAACTTATGGAATGAACAGACATTGTGATTATATACCCAAAGGAAAAGCATATATGCTTGTCTTACTAAATTTTGATCGTTTTTGCAACATTTAGCCTGAGTCCTTGTGCTCCTATAGAGGATCAAAATCTTTTGGTAGAGAAACCTTACAGTGATACTTTTGTTTCAGACACTTCGTTTTCCCATTCCATTCAGGGAGCATGTAATGAATATTATGCATAAATAATAACACTTTTGGGGATGCGGAGGAACATATTTTGACTTGTTTGGCTGACCTTTTCATGCAGGTAAAGTGTAGGTAGGATTTATTTTCACCAAATGATGTGACAGGCTCTAAAAATGTTGTTACTTTGTAAAATGAGCATGTGTCGGTCCACGTGGTGCCATAATAATTTCTTGGCAAAATTGTCCTCTTCTTGGGTAACACTTGAGTTTGTGGTTTAAATAATGATTTCATAAGTTGAGTGGAACTGTAGTGTGCTATATCTGGGTTTCATGTGGTATGACGAATTTATATTCTGTGTTGTTTTATATCTGCAGGTTACATCTAGCTAAGCTAAGATAGTATGCCAATTAGTAGGTTAGATTTCAGCACGGTCATCAGGAGTTGCTCACTGGTGCTTATTGCAAATGGGCAGCACTTGTTCTTTAATTGCCTTTATCTTACCTTAACATGGCTACAACCTACAAGCATTCTCATGTCAGTAAGGTGTACATCACACTGAAATTAACATAAGAGCACTTTGGTTTAGGGGATTAACTAGAGCACTTAGATGAATATAAAAGAATTCAGTAAGTACCTGAATGGTTTCAGACTAGCACTTAAATTAACATAAAATCGAGTTTATTTATGTCTTTCATATCACTACAGTCTATAACTTAGTTCATTTATATGCCTTCACTAAAACATTTTTTAGAGGAAATGAATGGTTTTGTATAGCTAATTTGTTTCAATAAATTAGTGAATATCGTAGTTTTCTGGAGAGGTCTAGCTTGAATAAACTGGTGAGGCTGAGAGGATCAGATAGGAGACTTGGTAGGCTGCTCTCCAAAATGCATTGTTCTGGCACAGAAAATTATGTTCTTTTTAGCTATATCATGTTCCCCTCAAAATATATAATTTCGTGATTTTGCACCTGACCGCAGAGCTGGAGGCCACGAAGAAGCAGATGGCGGACATGTATCAGATCATGCAAACCATCGGGTGTCCAAGTGCAGTTGCCAGCTCCAGCTCTGGTTCGACACTTCACTCCTGTGAGTATGAAAGTTTAATGCGTTCGTGCCGTTGGGATTGTCGGCCTTCGTGCCGTTGGGATTTTCGGCCTTCGTGCCGTTGGGATTGTCGGCCTTCGTGCCGTTGTGATTGTCGGTCTTCGTGCCGTTGTTTCTTGCAGGTTGGAAACCTCCCCGTGCAGGGGAGGTGCTGCCGAAATTTTTAATTTTGAGTCTAACACATGCAATCTCTTCTCTTTTGTGCAGCCTCCGTCGGTGGGTTCAAACAATCCCTCTACCATGTCACCGGCGGCTGATCGCGTCAATCCTTCGCCGCAGTCCGGTCCTTCACCACAGTTCGGGGGGCCACACCTGCAGTCTCCGTTGCCGCAGTAGGGATGTTGAACTTTGTGATGTTGAACTTGTAATAATAAACTTGTGATGTTGAACTTTGGTGCATTTGTGATGGATTTTCGATGGATTTATTAAATATGCGTGTGCTTGTAATATATAATGCATGTTGGTGATATAGATGTGATGATTGATGTATATATATTGTCTGTTACAATGGAATGTAAATTTTTTTTTGCAATTCTCGGGGTCTTTGCCGAGTGCCATGGGCAAGGCACTCGACAAAGATTTTTCAGAAAAAATATAAAATTTCTTTGCTGAGTGCCTCGCCGCGGCACTCGGCAAAGTAGTTTTTTAAAAAAAATTCAGAAATTCTTTGCCGAGTGCCTAAACAGGGGCACTCGGCAAAGAAATTATTTAAAAAAAACTTTGCCGAGTGCCTGGGCAAGGGCACTCGACAAAGTAATTTTTTAAAAAAAATAAAAAAAACTTTGTCGAGTGCCTAGGCAGGGGCACTCGGCAAAGTACTTTTTTAAAAAAAATAAAAAAAAACTTTGCCGAGTGCCTGGGCTGAGGCACTCGGCAAAGTAATTTTTTAAAAAAAATATTTTTTTTTTGCCGAGTGCTGGGTCGGGCACTCGGCAAAATAACCGTTAACGGCCGGCGCCGCAACTGCCGAAAATATTTTGCCGAGTGCCGCCCCAAGCACTCGGCAAATTTTTTTTATTTTGTCGAGTGCCCCGATAAAAAGCACTCGGCAAAGACCCTTTGCCGAGAAAAATTTTGCCGAGCGGACTTTGCCGAGTGCTACACTCGGCAAAGCCTTTGCCGAGTGGAAAGGGCTCTTTGCCGAGTGTAAAAACACTCGACAAAGCCGTGGCCTCCAGTAGTGATTGTGATCATCACATGAGAACCAAGTAGCAATGAGTAAGCAATTAAAAAAGATAAGTTCGATGCCAGAACCTGTTATCAAAATTTATTAGGCCGAACTCAAGACACTCTAGATGCCAAATCACAGGAACAAGTACAACGAAGAAGGAAAAAACTAAAAAATAAAAAACAAAAATGTGAAAATAAATGTGAGTAATATTGATATTTTTTATGTTGTTGCATGAACACACTACCCTACCACTGAATAGGTTGATCAAGAATTTCATCTTTTTGGTTCCACATGAATACCGGTCAAATTTACAACATAATGTCATGTAATATGCTCAAAAAAGAGTGCAAGCGTTTTTTGTAGTTTTGAGTCTAACAAAAAGGCTATGCAAAAACAGTCATGTATGGCATCCACAAAAAGTTAAATCAAATAAGTAATCACTCAAAAATTTCTCAATATTATAAAAATGCATAGAATGGCCACAAAAGAAGGCATTTCAGTCTAGCTTTTAAATGATACTAGTGATTTGTGCACGCCCATGCGCATGTAGACAATCACGGTCTAACCAAAATTTGCCATAAAACAACATGCGTAGACAATCATGATCTAACCAAAATTTGCCATAAAACAGAGTCGATCCTCAGCACAATCTCTAGACTGAATGTTGCGATGTTTGAACATTACATATATTTTTTTTGAGGGGAACATTACATATATTTTACATAAATGAGTCACAGAACACACGAATAATATAGGTCTTAGTATAGCTCACATAAAGTTCCAATGCCTCTAGGCTGAGATGGTGGAACATAGCATATTATACAGACAGTCACAATACTTTGCAAATGTGTCCGCAGGGTTAATGATATTATTTAAGGTGTTGTCAAAAAATGATGTTATTTAAGGGAAGTGGCAGCTGCTCTTGAGCTTCTCCTGAACTTGATGGCTGGTAAAGGAGCTTCCAACTTTGATCGCACAAGCTTCCTGGAACCATAGATAAACTCAATGAAACATTTTTCTCTGGCTATAAATCCCAATATAAAACACATTATAAGTTCTAAAGACCATATATTAACCTATTTGATGTTTCTGAATGGTGTATTACCTGAATACAGATGATCTTGACACCTGGGTTTTGCATCTTCAGAGACTTTCCAACACCAGATACTGTACCTCATAACTTCTGTGCCTGTACCAGATACAAATATGCCCACATTGACTATAAATTTCTCAATATATGTAGATAATAGGCAATGTAATTATGATAGCATCTAGAATATAAATTTCAGTGTCCTTAGCACCAGTGTTATGAATTCCAAGTCTTGTATATGATATCATGTACCAGGTCCACATAACATATTAGGCAGGAACAATGTAGAAGCATTCCACACCCTAACAAGAATTTACCATGTTGGGTAAAATAATATAGATTACAGGATAGACGCAATAAAGATGCATTCCTGAAACAATGGACCATGAGGAAACTATCATACTTGTCCAGCATCCTTTCCACAATAGCCTGCAGCCACCGTACATCGTTTTTTCTTCCCCACAGTATGTTCATCCAAAGCTTTTGCTGAAAAAAGAAACAGGGCAAAGGAGGTAATGTTTAACACAGTACTTTTAGTGCTATCAACAATTAACTAGTCATAATGCAGGCACCAGGCAGATTACCTAACAGTGTTTGAGCGTAATCAGAGTCGTCAGAAACATCAAACAAGGGTCCAGCACCAAGTGCATACGACAGAGCACCATTTAGCTCGGCCAAGTAGAAAAACACCTTAGGGGCAACTAGTGCTAAAAGCTGCCTCTGGACAAACTCCTCGTCTTCGTTCAAACTCTCACTGCATGCAGCAGGAAACAAATTGTGAGAAATACAACAAAGCAAAGCACCCAAGCTTATACTGATTGTCAAAACCTTTTACAACCAATGACCAGTATAAAGAGAAAATATTTTGGCCCATGCATATCAATGGCAGCAGCCATGAATAATCTTGGTATTCATACAGATCCTTCTAAAATGAATGTAACTCCTAGGAAATAAACACCAATTCTCATAGCATTTACTCGCTTCTACACTATAGCTGGATAGCTTCTATTGAACTGAGGAGCAACCAATAAGCTAAGGGCAGCTACCACATTAAACAGTATAAACACATGGATCAGTATTACTTTGTGACAGCTTTTTAAAGAGGAAAGTTATCACATTTGATTCATATCCTATCATGACAACCACAATCTAAAAGTTTGGGATTTGTTGTGTTAAACAAACTAGAACCTTGTGAGAAAGTTCAGTTTTTTCAGCAAACAGTATCTATGAATTGGAGGGTGTGAATCATATCATAAGTTCATAACAAGCTCTAAATATGTACTGATCCTTATACCGTATGGCTCCATCGGAGGCTTCTGAGCCTTAAGGATAGTGCATATTTACTTCCGTCATTGTGTTCCACATTGAGCTTTAGGATGCAGATTGTAGCAGGCATACCTCATGTAGTTCTGCACAGAAAGAATAATGACAGCTAATATTTAGGTAGTCCCTAAGATAGGTTTTTATGACCCAGTTTTCTTATAGCTATTCAAATGTCTTTATCCATGTATTTCAGCCTGTCTTATCTTTTACACAAAATTAGGTTTATGATTTGTTCAGAGATAAATGTGCAGCAACGCACTGTGGAGCTCAGCTGTCCAATATTCACATGAATACCTCCTTGATACTATGGAATCTATTTTCAGAATCATCTAATAAAAAACACAATCTTGTCTTCAGGGGCATACCCAGTGCAGAGAGCTCCCGCTCTGTGCGGGGTCTGGAGAAGGGTGTCAGTGGCAAGCCTTACCCTAGCCTGTGCAATGCGAGGAGACCGCGACTCGAACCCAGGACCTTCCGGTCACAGGCGGTAAGACTCTACCGCTTGCACCAGGCCCGCCCTTCAGATGCTACTTAATTTTTCCTTTCCTTTGATGCTTCCACATTTAGCATCCTGGCCTCGAGTTCATGGAAAAATAGAGCAAAAACATATACAATATAAAATTTATTCATTGCTTTGTTTAGGTGTCTCCAAATACATATAAAGTGTATGTTCAGATCACAGATATCACATATTAGATACAGATAAAAAAGCTCATATGACTCCATCATGGCCAGAAACAAAATCATGCCCAGAAATCCGCACACAGGCAAGAATAGCACTATAAAACAATTGCAATTTCACAGACTAAATCAAATGCTGAAAACCTGAAGCTCTGCCAAGATGAACCATGAACAAGATTTGGGGCTACTTGCAGGCATCTCTACCAATCGAATTCATTTCACAGACTAAATCAACTACGAATTCATTTCACAGAGTACTTGCAGGCATCTGTACATACTGAATCAATTACTTACCATGGAAGTCGGCGGTGGTGGGGAGGAAATCGGCAGCGGCACGGTGACAGTGGCGAGGAAGCCGGAGGCGGCAGTGGCGAGGAGATCGGCATCTTGCGGCTGTGCTGGTTGCCCCCGCGTCCTTTTACTCCTCTGCCGAGCCGCGCCACCCTGTGCTCTCCGCCGGTGCCGGGTCTGTGTCCATCGGTGGAGAACACGGAGAGGAGCGAGATGGCCGGGTCGGGGACGAAGCGCGCAGCGCCTGGTCGGGGATGGAGAGCCGCGCCGCCGGGTCGGAGAGGTGGTGCTCGGCCGGTCCGTGGGGGTGCGCTTGGAGGAGAACCACCGCCGGGCCGTAGGGGTGCGCTCGGAGGAGGACCGCCGCCAGCTTCTTCTTTCGGGAAAGAACGAGAGATTGCGGGAGAGAGATGGAAGAGGAGAGTGAATGGTGACAGGCAGTTTTTTTTTTTTTTTATAGGAGGCAGGCAGATAGATTGTGTACCGGGAGTGGTACGAGCACAAAAAAAAAAGGAAGGGGGGGGGCAAGCACAAAAAGTTCGGATTTGTTGGCGCCTATTTTGGCGCTGAGTCCAAAAACAGCTACAAGTGTCAAATTTTCTATTTATAAGCTTATATGATATGTCTATATATTATTAAAAGTAAAAAATAGTTAGGTGACCAAGATAATTAGATTGTGAAGTTTGCCAACATTTGATCTTTTACTTAAAATTTACCGTGGCAGACAAACATATCAGCTCTGGTTGAATATTGGCTATCTATTCGTGACATTCATTTTTTTATTTTTGGTTAAACTAATCAAATTGAATGATTTTTTCTAGTGTTGTATAAAATCACTCTTTACTATTTCGTTCACTTATATATTGGGAGATGTTTTTTTTGTGTTTATCACATCACTTTGCATTTGCGTGGTATGCCATCAAGGTGAATGATTTGATTATATTTTTTATTTTCGATTGGATAGAGAAGGCCAAATCCTATAAATAGTTACAAGTGCCAAAGTTTTTTTTTATATGTAATAGCCTATATATATTTTTGTTATGTAGGAGTTTCAAAAGAATCGAATCAATTTCTAGCGAGGCTTAGGCGTGCCACGCAAAAAATGCACATTTTGTGGCCACTAGTGTTTGAACCCATAACCTCAAGGTTTGCATATTCATCTCCTAACCACTCCACCTATAAGAAAATTGTATCCATTTTAGATATTCGTCCTCCACATTTTATATTTATATGGTTTTAAATGAGCATTTGCAACCCTAAACGAAATCAAATGAAAAAGTTGTCAACTACAAAGTTTATAACTTTTCGAGATCTACAACTTTGGTTTTGATCATTTATCCATTTGAAGTCGTTTGAAGAATTTGAATTTCAAATGTGAGGAAATTCGGGTGTAGTTTTCCTTGGATAGATGATTTCAAATGAAAAAGTTGTGAACTAAAAAGGTGCATAACTTTTCGACATCTACAAGTTTTGTTTTGGTCGTTTCTCCATCCGAGGTCATTTGAAAAAAATCAAATTTCAAATGTGAAAATTCAAACGTAATTTTCGTTGGATAGATGATTTCAAATGCAAAAGTTGTCAACTACAAAGATGGATATGTTTTTTAGATCCACAACCTTTGCTTTGGTCGCTCCTCCATCCGAGATCATTCACTATGTCTGCACACACACTTGTGACTATAGAGCATAGGAGTTCCTTTGGTATGAACTCTATAAAATCTTGTTAGTCAAATATTTCGGCATCAAAACGACTTCAAACAAAATTGTGAATTACAAAATTTCATAACTTATCAAGATCTAGAACATTTTATGTTTGATTGTTTCTCCATCGGAGATCACTCTCTAGTACTACACACTCACTTGTGACTATATAACATATGGATTCCTTTGGTATGAACTCCATAAAATCATGTGATGGCTATTTAGGCATCAAAATGATCTCAAGTCAAAAAGTTTGAGCTCGCACTACAACTTTGGTATAAAGTTCGTGTTCATTGGACCCCTCATGGTTGGATGACGTGTGGCACTTGAAAAAAAACACAATTGTTTGTGATGTTGGACCCACCACACATGGGAGAGTGATTGGACCCAGGTTCTTAATTCTTGTTTATTGTACTTGGTAGTTTCAATTGCCTCACGGGGCTATTTGGTTTAGTTGTTAGCTGTGAGTTTTGTAAAAGTTGTTGTGACTTTGTCAATGGGTGGTAATGTTCCCGTCGACAGCGAGGCACATGTGGTGACTTCATCATTCTCGAGATTTACTTTTACTGGTCATGACTCTTTCAATATCGGTAGGTTTATGATTATCTAATGATCTCACAATTTGTTATGCTTGTCTAAGAACGATTTAGTTGTAACTCTTTCCTTCCTTAGGGTTTAAAATATTTCAAGCCTTTTACGGAGAGTACTTCCTAAGAATTGCATGTGGTGTAGATAAACATTACTACATATCAATACATTCGTATATCTTCAACATCCTGAGAAAAAACTAGAGACAATTACCTATAGTTGGCTAGTTATTAATTCCATATGCATGCTCAAAAACCAAAAATACATTCTTATTATCAAGAATTGATCTTACCACATCTTTGTTTATTCTTCTAATTATATGGTAAACAAATACTCCATCCATTTTAAATTATAAATCGCATTGATTTTTTTGTCATAGATTTTGGTCTGTAGATGATATGTACCAAACATTTACCTAAAAACTCTAATGTATGTTTACCTATGTATTATTCTAAATAATAATACACTTTTTTATAATTTGATTATATGTCTGCGAAAAAATCATTTAAAAGTTGAACTAGCGGGTAACTCCCACCCCTGGTTGCAGCGAAAATTTAAAATGACCTCCACATAGCCTTCTCTCTCTCTCTCTCCAATCTCCACACCCACGCCGCCACCCTCTCAGTCGGAAAAAAACGCCGCCCTCTCCCCCACCCCAACCCTCGAGAGCCCGAGACCTCCCCACGGCCACGGTCTACCTCCGGCATCCACGTTCCCGTCCAGAGCCCCTCCCCAATGGCCGTCCGCCGTGTGCCCGCCGTGCCGACACCGCCGACACAAGCTGCTCCAGAGACCCTGCCAAATCCACGCCAGCAGCCTCCCTAATCCTACGGATCCAACTCCTCCCTGCCTTCCTCCAACGGTACGACACGTCACGTGCCGCTCACCCCCAATCCTCCACACCTCTCGTCGTCGACGAGCGGACCCGGTCCACGCCAGATCCGGCCATGACCGTGGGTTCGGTCTCCCTCCGATTGGGGTAGCCATGGATCAGAGTAGGCGGACGATGGAATCGTACTCAAGCTCGCGGATGGTGGACGGTGTCACGGCGAACTACAACAAGGTCCTATGGTTTTTCAGATCCGCGCTGCTGCATCTGCATACCATTAGTCTTTGACGTCAGGTATTCAGGTTCCTACTCTGCCTCCCCAGGGCCGGCGGCGATGGTGTGGCAGTCTTCAGTGGGGGGGCATCAGATGGAGGACCACATGTTGCAGTTCGACCTAGAGAAGGTGCTCAGGTGTGCTGATAGCGTTCCTTCTCAGTTCATCTACAGACCCTAGGATGAACAGGTTAGGATTAGCACTATAGAATGCAGTTGCTCCTCTGTTCATCTACTGCTATCTTTTGATTTGCATGTTTTAGGAAAAAATACGTGCAGGAAAAAATGGGTCCATGTGGCTTCTAAGGAACTTTTTGGTTTTTAGATTAATCTCCAGGCACTATCAAAACAGCTCCAGATCCTCTGGCCCGCCACCGTCTCCTGTGCTGTCCTTCTTGGTGTCCTTCACCCGGATTACCGATCCAAAACTAGCAGATAAGTTCTCTAACTCACTTCCCCCAAATCCCTCCGCTGTTACAAAAGCGCAGTGCAACTGCTATGATTTAGGTGGTATTGTAAATTCCGTTGTTTCTTTAATGTTCTGTGTGCACTACCTGTGTATTACTACTTAAATTTCAAGAAAAGCTATGTGCTTAGATGGGCTTGTCTGGTGCTTATTTGGTCTTGTTCCAGGAGGCTTTGGTCATTGTGTTGCATCAGTCTTATATGTATGTATGCAGTAGTAAATAGAAATATTTTCGGGGCCAATTTATTGCTACCATTTGTAGACCATGGCATGGCAGTAGTCAGAAGAGAATTCATAAACCCTATTGTAGCCCATAGACACAGCTAATATAGAGGAAACTATCATACTTGTCCAGCATCCTTCTTGTAACATATTGTAGCACTTTCTTGTTTAAACAGAATGATCAATTGGTAAAATCTCTTGTTCGTGAAATACTTCTTTATCTACAAAGGCTTTTTTATAATAATTCATGCTATTTTTCATTTCTCCTCTTTACTAGAACAAAGAACCATGTGAGTCTACATATAGTGACGATGATGATCTATTTTTCTAATAAAAAGGTTATCAACTGGTTTGTTGTATTCAAGAATAATATACTCTTAGTTTGTTTATATGTCAATATTTTTGCCTAGTGATTATGATTTACAAGAATTTGTATTGGAACTAATGCTAAGGTGACACTAATGACAAGGAATTACTAATTCTAGAAGTAGAAACAATGTCCCCGTAATGCTCTGCTAATGATTCTAGACAAATAGCGGTACATCTTTTCATTGAACCAATGAATATGATATATTAGACTTATAATGTCAATTTATTAAAGATAAATAACATTATAACACTGTATAATTACAATTACCATTCTCTTCCTTTCAGTTTAATTCTTGCCCAAGGAATTCTACAGAGGTAGAATAATAAAGGTACAAAATGTAAGAACCATATTTTCATATTTATTATAGTAAATTGTTTGTTTTATATTGTTTCATATGTAAGGATCATCATGGAGTGCTTGGAGAGACTACCATTGCACAATAAGAGGTAGCTCATGACAAGGCTACATGCCACAAGATTCCGAAACATGAGCAACCTCCTCCAATGAAGGTAGGTGAACAAAATATCACTTAACTACATTATCTTGATAAACAAATGATGTTTGTTGGTCGCTAAGTGATATGCCAAATTAATATAGGTTCGGTCCACAGTGGTACTCATGACTACAAAATATCCAAATAAGGTTTTTTGAGCACTAATCCAAAAACATGTTTTGGTGGAATTGAGACAAAATCAATTCTACAAAGTGGATATCAATCATCCTGGGTACAATAACATTGGTGATGCCCTTGCCAAAGGTGGTAACAATTGTTCGGACTTTGACATTTGTATGTTCGTACTAGCTTTTAAGTTTACATCAACTAACATAGATAGAATAATATTTAATGTTATAACTTTCTCTTTGTAGGTTGAAATGATTAATGGCTGAATTCTTATATTGATGTGTGCAAAAATGGATGAAGAAGCAATGGAATTTAAGAACACTAGATATCACACTTTCATTTCTAGTAGTATGGGCTTGTACTCTTCAATACTATATGTAGTTGCTCTCAAGCTAGAGCCACATCGTTATGTACCTATACTGTCACTTGATTTGAACAAGTATTACGTTGAAATCTTCAAATAATTTGTGGATCTTGCTATGGTTATTGAAATTTGCGGCTCATGAGATTCTATAATGTGTCATATTTGTGTGATTCTGCAATGTGTAGCCCACATGTAAGGGTAATATAAATATTTTATTTAAAAAGTTGAATGTGTTACAATAGGTAAAATATGTGTTGTAAACCATGTGTTACTCCATTCCACACTATATACTCTACTACAATGTGGAAGTGTTACTAGAACACTAAAATATTGTTACAAAAGAAAATCACTGTAACACTAGACAATGTTACAGTAGATATGTGTTACAAACTATGTACTCCATCACATTATGGAAGTGTTACTATAGCTAAAAAAAGTGTTACAACAGAGAATCACGGTAACACTAGACAAATGTTCCAATAGATATATAAATGTGTTACAACGTAGTAACACTTTTCTATATATAAAAGAACACATATTCTGTGTTACAATAAATCAATCTATAGTAACATGGCCAATTGAAACACATAAAAAAATGTGTTACTAAGAAAGCTAGTAACACTTTTTTCAGCCTATAGTAACACAAGTTGGTGTTACAATATCCCCGTGTTATAGTAGTAGCGCCGCCACTAGGTCCTCGGACCGGACGGCTCGACGATGGTGGTCGGCACGGCGGCGCCCGCTTGCATGAGTAACGAGAACATCGGCTAATAAGCCGGCTGATGCTGTTTTGTTGTGAGAGAAAAATACTATATCATGGCTGATAAGCCAGGCTGATAAGGTCAAGTGAACAAGGCGTATTTGAACATTATTACACTACTACAACACAGGGATATAGTAACACCAACATGCGTTACTATAAGCCTAAAAAAGTGTTACTAACTCTCTTAGTAACACAAATTTTTTTATGTTCCAATTGGCTATGTTACTATAGATTGATCAATTGTAACACTTTTATTTATCTAGTAGAACATTTTTTATTTATCTGTTGTAACACATTTTTTAGTTGTAGTAACACTTCCATATTATGTAGTATATTGTTTGTAACACCTTTTTGAGCTATAGTAACATTTTGTCTAGTGTTAAAATGAATAGAACCAATTGCCACGCGGTTTGTTCCGCTGCAATATGCAACAAAATAGGTGTTGCAATAGACTATATTGCCACACATCAAAAGCATGACAATAGGTGGAACCCTCTATTGCCACAGTTGTTGTTTGGTTGCTATAGGTGGAACCCTCTCTTGCCACACTAAATATTTGGTTGCTATAGATGAAAGCCTCTATTGCCACACTCGTTGTTTGGTTGCTATAGGTGAAATCCTCAATTGCCACACTAAATGTTTGGTTGCTATAGGTGGAACCCTCTATTGCCATGATAAATGTAGTTGCTATAGGTGAACCCTCTATTGCCAAACTAAATATTTGGTTGTTATAGGTTGAAGCATCTATTGCAACGCTGAATGTTTTGTTGCTATATTTAGAGACCCAATTATCACGCACAATATTGACATGCCATTAATTTTTCAGAACAGCCATACATGGTCACTACAACATTTAGATAAATCCATTAAACCAAAATATGATTTGCTTGTACACATCGTTAATGAAACTATCCAATGTCAAACTCAGCTTAAACACACACATTGCTCAAACACATAAGGTATCTGACACACACTTGTTTGTACGCATCCAAATCTAATGAGATATATGTCTACCACTGTAGGAAATTAAGATTCGCTTGACATTGACCATCCCATCACTTTGTGCTCCACTCAAAATCTAGCTTCTTCATGAAAAGAATCATGGACATTGTGCATGAGTTAAATTGAAATTGGAATATTGGCTCAAAATTTTGATATAAAATTTTAAACCAATTACTGCATATATACAGAACATCATATTGGCTCAAAAACAGTATGGGCCACCGAATCAACCACGTATAAATGAAAAATCAGTTGAAAGCATATAGGTGTCAAAGGAAAAGATGGGACCTATGTGACAAAAATCATTACGTTATAAAAGACTAATGTTGCTGTGTGGGCAACCATTCAGCTGCTGAAAATGGATACAGTTGATATTGCTATCACTGGTACAGACTAATCAACATAAACAAAGAAAAAGATAAGGCCGACCTTTAATTGGACTGAACTCTGGAGTAACAGCTATGCGGAAGGCTGCATCAGGAGCTTAGTGCAAGCCACATTTTAAGTAGACAAATATTGTCAATAAAATTTGTTGTATTGTTCCAAATGGAATTTCGATAGTGAATAACAAACTTTATTTAATATTTCACAGATATCTCACATCTATTCATGGAGGCAAATTTCGAACCAATCATCAGTTATGAACACTACAGAACATACAATGGTTTTCGAGAAGGCAAAATGGTGACAAGTCTCACCAAGAAGTCAGTGGTGCCTGTGATTTCCTAAGATATTATAGAATGATTAATTAAGTGTATAGTCGCACTATCAAAGCATGATTAATCTTGCTACAAGTTACTGTAAATGTAATTTCATTTCTAAGTTCCAATTTAATCAGAGGTTAATCATACACCATACCACTCTTAGATTATTCTTTAAGCAATAACAAGAAAGATAAGTTAGATATATCATCTAGAAAAACAGAACAATATATCCACATGCAACCAGCCTCCAATTGATCCAACCTCTCTGGTTTCTTGGGTACCTTGGTTAGCCTGCATTTAAAAAATCCATCAATACATTGAACATCTTATTGCAGTTCAGCATCAGTTAAAACACCTAACTTTTAACTGAACTCTACCAATTTGTCTTGTAAGAACAACTAATTTGCAGCTGCATATTCCAATTTTGCATGACGCTACTAATTGATCATGGAATATTGAAGTAATTATCAAAGTTACATATCTATTAGCTACAACCTCTAGGTCATTGTTCTGCGCTCTTGGACTGGTTAGAAAGGTAATCTGCTAGAATGTGGAATGCAACCACCAGGAAACGGCAGTATCTAAGCCGCATTTCATACTTACATCAACTCAAGAAAGCATATAGGAAAGGGGTGGACGACAGGACTGTGTATCTTTCTTGACTTCAATATAAAGGACTGTGTATCCTGCGTCCAAACATGTCAAAAGGTATTGAGTGTATGGGTAATAGGAGCAATCATTTGATAAAAAAATTTTCAATAGCCAAAATTTAAAATGTTGATTACTAATAATTAGCTCTCATGCAGTTTACTGTAATTACAAATGGTCTCATCATACTAATGAAGTTCATGGAAACCATATTAATCAATGAATCATTGCAAGGCAGCAAGGCAAATATATGTTTTTTTTTGTACTAATCAATTCCTGTTTTGCGGCAATTCGAGTATATCAAGCGGCCAATTCTTGAACTAGTTAACCGGCTAAAGCATACAGTGATTTATATAAAGAGTTCAAACTAAATGCTGCAGTCAGGAAGATAATTGATTAACCTTCTTATAT